CGGGGAGACCCACTCTGTGGCCTGGCTAACCGAGCAGGCTGCCCAGCGCTACTGCCAGGCCTGTGGGCTACTGCCAAGGCTTGTCTTGCGAAAGGAGGGAGCCTTGCTGGCCCCGCAGGACCCCATACCTGATGTGCTACAGAGCAACGAGGAGGTGAGTGGTAGGGGCCTGGGCCCCACGCGGAGTGTGCCCCGGCCCCCGGGGCCCCTCTGGCTGCTTACTGCTAGGTCTCTGCAGGTGTTGGCGGAAGTCACTTCGTGGGACCTCCCCCCACTGACTGACCGCTACCGCAGGGCCTGCCGGAGCCTGGAACAAGGTAAGGGCCCAAGAGGGCTCGAGGTGGCCTGGGCGGATGGGCACATCCCTGCGCCCCTCTCAGGTCTGAGGCCTACCATCCAGAGCCCCAGATGGCTAGCCAGCGAGGCACACTCCCTCCTCCTCTACCCAGTGCCCACACTGTGGGTGGCAGGAGGGGGAAGGTTGGTCCTGCTGGCAGTGCACGGTGTAGAATCAGCAGAGCCGCTGGAGGCTAGGCCTGGGGCAGCTTTCCAAGGAAGCCTGGCTTGGGCGCTGTGAGATGTGGGGGTGCCTGGCAGAGGTTAGGGCCCTGCCCAGGAGGGCGTGAGAAGACAGAGAGGGGTCAGTGGCACCCACAGACCACGCACTGGGTCTCCAGGCATGTGGGAGTGGCCTCTGTGGTCCCTTTGGTGGGTGTCCCAGGGCTCACAAGTCGGAGGGATGTTTGATGGGGTCCCCAGGACTCACAGGGCAGAGCAGCAGATTCTGGCGCTGGTGACACCCCCCACCCACCCACCCAGAGGAGCACCCGCAGGTGCTGCAGGCCGTGGACCGCCAGGGCTCCAGCCCCTCCTTCAGTGTGGGCTCCCTGGCCCTGCGTCAGACCCAGCTCACCCCGCTGCTGCGGGCCCTCAAGCTTCATGCGGCGCTCCGGGAGCTGCACCTGGCAGGGAACCGGCTGGGGGACGGATGTGCCGCTGAGCTGCTGGCCGCCCTGGGCACCATGCCCAGCCTGATGCTCCTGGATCTCTCCTCCAATCACCTGGGCTCCGAAGGCCTGCACCAGCTTGCCGCAGGCCTCCGGGGGCAGACCACCTTACAGGTAGAGGCGTGGGGAGCAGTGGGTTGGCACTAGGGCTGGCATTTGGCCTATCATCGGGTGGAAAGGTGCACTTGGGAGAGAGCTGGCCACTGGCCTGCTCGGGGACGCCAAGGAGACCAGATCCTCCAGAAGGGCCCGTGTCCTCCACAGAATTTGCAGGAGCTGGACTTAAGCATGAACCCCCTCGGGGATGGCTGTGGCTGGGCCCTGGCGTCCATCCTGCACGGCTGCCCCTCACTCAGTACCTTGCATCTCCAGGCCTGTGGCTTTGGCCCCAGCTTCTTCCTGAGCCACCAGGCAGCCCTAGGTAGTGCCTTCCAAGGTAAGCTGACAGGCATGTCCACGTCCCAGGGTTCCGGTTGTCATCAGAAGAGCACGTCCAGGGCCACAGAGGGCCTTGAGCCAGAGGGCCTGCTGTCTAGGAGCACATCGCTGGATGTGCTGGGCCTGCCTGGGCTCGGGCATTCCCCTAGGATATGCCCTGGGCCACCGTCATAGTCCTGCTGTTCTCGCCAGCCCTGAGTGTTCTTGTAGACACACTGAGGCTGCAGAGAACCCCAGTCCCAGTACAGAGAAACTGGGAACTGGTAGTCCTCTAGGGGCCTTTCTGCAGAGGTGGTGGGCCAGGAGGTAGGGCTCAGGGCTCAGGGACATGAGCACAGCAGCAGAGGAGAAGCGGGGTTGGGCAGCAGATGGCGTTCCCAGCCCCCACCCGATCGTGCACAGACCTCCAGGCCCAGGGCCTGTCTTGGGTTGCCCATCTTGTCTCAGGTACGGGGAGGCAGGTGGCCCAGGGATGTCGGGGAGAAGATGGGCTGAGGAGTGGCCCCGTCTCTCCTTGCCTGGGACACCCTGGGCAGAAGCTACTCCAGTTCTGCGTGCACCGAAATCTCAGGGATGATGGTTTCATCTGGGGGTCGTGAAGATGCTGGGCCTGGGACTGCCGCGGAGCTGGGGTAGCAGCCGCGTGTGGCTGACAAAGGCTCTGGTCCCCTATGCAGATGCCAAGCACCTGAAGACACTGTCTCTGTCCTTCAACATCCTGGGTCCTGATGCCCTGGCCCGCGCCCTGCAGAACCTGCCTGCCCAGGCCCTCCGGCGCCTGGAGCTGAACTCTGTGGCAGCTGGCAAGAGTGACTCGGGCCTCGTGGAGCCTGTGGTCAGATACCTGGCCAAGGTATGTCTGGTTGAGGGGGTTTGCTGAAGCAAGCAACCCTGGGCCATCCACCTGCAGTCCCATAGCAGATACCGGGCAGGGGTGGGAGAGGCCTGGGAAGGGGGTGGTGCCTTCAGAAAGAAAAGCTGTGGGAGAACCTTTCTGGAGAGCTAGCTGCCTGCCTCAGGCTTTGAATTCCTGGCCAGCGAAGGTGCCCGGGACCCAGGGCAGCCTCCTTGCCCAGGCAGGTCCCAACGTCTTGCCAGGCCTCCCAGGGCTCTCTCCCCTGGCTCCTCCCTGTGGGTCTGGTCCCCATGATTTTCATGTGCCAAGTGTGACTTACACCTGGAAGGGGAGGTGTTTCCTTGTGATCTGCAAATTGGAGGGATACTGGTCCCCTCTGATGCACGGGGGGTCAGGCAGACTTTGCTCCCTTGTTCCCAAGGATGAAGGAAGGTGTGGGGCCTCTACTGGGAAACAGGGAGGGCAGGCACCCCACTCACCCTAGCCCCCCTCGGGCCTCTGCTCTGTCTAGGAAGGCTGCACTCTAGCTCACCTGAGCCTGTCTGCAAACCATCTGGGCGACAAGGCAGTGAGAGACCTGAGCAGGTAATAGGGTCTGATCTCGAGCCCAAACCCTGGGGGAGCTGGGTCAGGCAAGGAAAGGGTAACAGCTCTCCCCCAAGTGTGTCCCAGGACCCAGCTCCTTCCCGCTTCAGCCCTGCCTCCTGTCCTTCCCATGCCCCTGAGGCTCTGGAGAGCCTTCCCATCACCCTTTGTGCAACAACCCATGCAAGGGCAACTCCTGACCCTCCAGCTTCAACTGGCTCTTGGGAGTGCTGGGCCCTCGAGCCAGGCAGGCATCCCCAGGCCCGGGTCTTGGCATTGTCCAGCTAGCGTGGGGGAAGTACTTGCACCTGTGTCTCCAGGGGAAGAGCCTGTGGCTCCCAGAGCTGCGGTTTGTCTGGGGCAGCTTTCCCCGGCGCTGGGGGCTCCCTCCCTCCCGTTACTGCAGGTGCCTTCCTTGTTGCCCCTCACTCGTGTCACTGGACCTGTCCGCCAACCCTGACGTCAGCTGTGTGGGTCTGGAGGAGCTCCTCTCTGCACTCCAGATGCGGCCCCAAGGCCTCAGCTTCCTTGGCCTGTCAGGTGAACTTGGGAACCTACCTAAGGTCCAGGTGCCTCCTCTAAATGGGTTGTCATTGCCACCAGCCAGATGGCAAGGGGGGGCTGGGTCCCCTGAGATTGACACAGTGGGGGACAGTGACCCATGTGACTCAAAAGGGGTGTGAGCTCAGCTCCTAAAACAGTGGGGCAGGAGGAACATGGGATCTCTGGTTTTAACCCGCTCAGCCTGACCCTCAGAGACCATGGTGGCTGGAGGGCTGGATCCCCTTCCAAGAGGATTTCCTAACTACCTTGGCAAGAGGAAGGAGCTCTAGGTCAGGATGGCAAAAACTTGCCACCAAGGGACCTTCCCACTTCCTGGCAGGAGCTGCTGGGACCCTAACCTTCCCAACCTGTGGTGTCCTAGCTTGTTCTCATTCTGGCCACACCCAGGCACAGTGCCCTACTGAGCTGGCTTGAAGATGATGCCAGGAGATACTTGTTTGGTGAACTGCCCTCCTGGTAGCCTGCACATCCAGCTAGGGCCTGGGGCGGGAGAGTACAGGCTTTGCCCTCCAGGAGGACAGGGACCGGGAGTGGGTATCCACACAGGGAACCCCTGGCTTCTTCCTGCTCCTCAGCCCCCACTGCACACGGCTGAGGGGCTGCTCCCTGCACACCAGCATCTGCACTCATCCTCTCCCCTAGCTCCCTAGGGTCCTGAGCCCACTGGGCACTCTGGGCTCCCTGGAGCTCAGATCTTGACAGCTCAGTGACCTCTAGAGACCCACAGGCACCGCTGTCGTGCCCATTTATGGACGGAGACCCAGGCGTTGTCCTAGAAAGCAGCATGTATGTGACTGCCCGTGTGTTTGAGCCAGGGACCGTCCTCCGTCCTCCGCGACCCCCGGCTCCGACAAGGGCCCACGAACCTCTTCCTAGAGTGTTTCTGGGCCTCTCCTGGGCTTCTGCCCATGCACTGTGCTGTGGCCCTCGTGGCCTCAGAGGAAGTGCGTTTCTTCGGGGGGGGGGGGGGGGGCTGCCCGGGTACAGAGATGAGAACATGGGCGCGGGAGTCACAGAGGCTTCCAGCTCCCTGAGACCCGCTCCTGCCTCCGCTCTGCAGGCTGTGCTGTCCAGGGCCCCCTGCGCCTGGGCCTCTGGCGCGAGATCACCGCACAGGTGCAGGAGCTGGAGCTGTGCAGCCGCCGCCTCTCCCCCGACGATCGGGCCGCCCTGCGCCAGCTGCTGCCCGGCCGGCCGGGCCCTGGCGCATGCACACTGGACCGAGGGTCCAAGCTCTTCTTCAGGCGCCTGTGACCCGGGAGGCGCTGCCCGGCCCCCTCCCCGCAACGCCTCAAATAAACGGACGCTGCTGCTGCCCCTGTTGCTGCCTGAAAGGCGGGTGGGAGACGGAAAGCGGGGTTCGTTTTGCGGCGGGGACGGGAGGGCAGCTCCGGTCACTCGGAGGTCGGGGGCACGAAGCCCACACCTTCCCCTGCGCTAGCCTCTTCCCGCCTCGCGGGCCACAGGGGGCGGAGCCCACCCGGTTGCGACGCGCGCATGCGCGCTCGTCGGGCGATGGTCGATTGGGGGAGAGGCGTGCGCAGGCGCAGACGTACAAGGGAGCGCCGAGCGGTCGATCCGGGGCGCTCACCGCGGCGCCGTGTCCCCGACCGGCCTAGTCGGCCCAGGTACCCGGCTGGTGGGGGGCGTTGGGCGGGGAAAGGGTCGCGGGCGCCGTCACACCGCGGAGGGCCTCTCCGCAGTCATTCGGGGTGACTCCCGCGTCTCGGTCCCGAGCCGCGCCGGGCCCCGCGCGCAGGCCGGGCTCCCCGGGTGCGCCGCGCTCGGGCCGCCTCCTTGCTCGCGCGGACCCGGTAGCTGCCCAGGCGGTAGCTTCGAGACCAGGCGTGGGCATCGTGGGGAAACTCGCTTCTCGGGTCCTCGGGCCGCACAGTTTCCGCGCCCGAGTGGAGTCCCCCGTGGAACTGCGGGCGCTCGCTGCGCGCCCCCGCTCTTGGCGGCCCGGAACGACGGCTGGACAGTCTCCCTGCCGCCGCCCAGGGGGCTCTTGTCCCTCATCCGCGTTCCCAGAGGACACCCTCCCTCGCACGCGCGCTCCTTGGCTGCACCGCACCGCCTCCTCCCAGCCTCCGTTCCCGGCCACCGCAGGGCGCAAGCCGCGCTGCTTGCTCTCTCCGTTCCCTGTTGGTCGCCCCGCGTGTGACCCGGCTCAGCCCGGCTGGCCTGGGCCTCTCTGACTTCGGCAGCCTCCACACACACCCCCGCAGGGCCGCTTCCTCTTCCCGCTTCTCCAGCTCCCAGGAGTGGGCAGTAGGGGCACCCTACGGTGGTCGGGCCAGGCACGGGGGTATCGTTCTTGATTCCTTTTTAACTAACGTCCCCTTTCAGATACTTCAGTGGGCCTGGTGGGTTCGTGTCCAGCGCATGTCAGACTGGCTCCAGCCCCTGCATCAGCTTCCTGAGTGGGCGGGACCCTCCCAGGGGCCTCGTGCCTTCTCTTTCTGGGCCCACTGCGTGGCTGGGAGCCTCTAGAGCTTGTCTTCAGCCTATCGGTAGCTTCTGCCATGTTGGTGTGAACCTCACACACCGTCTCTTGACCTGTGGGGCTGTGCGCTTTCATTCCGTCTCTCCATCTTCCCCACGGGTCTGTTCCTCTACCTGTGTTTCTCTGTAAAGGCCTCAAGTTACATGTGCTGTTCTCTCTGCGCAAGGGCTCCTTCCCAGGTCTTCTGGTAGCTGCCGCCTTCTCATCTTTCTCCTGGCTCCTGGTAGCCATCAGGGAGCCCTGACCCCTTGCCGCCACTGCCCTGCTGTCCTGAGATGTGCTTTTGCACCCGCTTCGTCCTGACAGTCTCTCAGGCAGAGCAGGTGTTCCCACCACAGCGGGTAGTGCCCTGTTTGTTCATCACTATGACGTTGGCCAGCCAGGTCTGAGGGCCCAGGGGTTCCTGCAGGACCCGCCAAAAGGGTCCTTGCCTTCACATAGGACGCAGAACCAGACACGAGCCAGGAGGAAGTGAGAGCAGTTTACTGAGTGTGTAAGTGAGAGGCTGTATGGAGCCTTTGGGAAACTCAGAAAGGAGAGAAGAGTGAGTCTGTCCTCTGCTTGGGGTCTGAGGTTTTTACTGAGGACTGGGGTCTGGTATCCCAGGTACTTGATATCCCAGATATCTCTCAGGTATCCAGGAACTGCCCAGAACAAAGGTAAGTGTCCAGGTGTCCTCCATAAATCAGTCCCTGGAACCAGGGGGTCCTGGCGTCACAGCGTCTAGAGTCTGTGGATGGAATGGGCACGGGACAGCCTCGCCCAGTCACTCCTTGGAAGTTATCTACTATGCTGGGAGACCACAAAGAAATCATTAACTCTTTGACCTTGACCCGTGAGGACAGACGTTATTTGTACTGTAAGGCATGTGCAGGTGGGGGTGCAGAGCCTAGCAAAGGAAGACCGAGAAAAAGAGCAAAAAAAGCAGTTCTTCATGGGACTTTTCAGTTTCCTGTGTCCCGTGTTTCCCATCTGACTGCTGTGGGCTGGCAGAGTCTTCGAGAGGTCCAGGAGTGTCGGAGGTCACCTTCGAGTTGGCGCTGGCTCTACTCCTTAGGTCTTTGCTGTGGCCCCCGGAGCCTGCAGGATGTTTCACGGGATTCCCGCCGCTCCGGGCATCGGAGGTGAGTGGGGCTCGGGGTGGGCCCAGGGACCCAAAGGGCCAAGCTTTCACCCCTGCTGCAGAGGCCAGGGGTCGTGGGGAGGTCTGTACGTGTCTCCCCCGTGCAGCCTCAGTGGGCGGCTGGGGTCTGGTGCCGTTCATCCCCAGGGGCACCAGAGAAGACCTCCAGGCGGGGCCAGGTGGGCACAGAGATAACGACTTCACTGTGCTAGGAACCTCGGGGTGGTGGTGGTGGGGCATCCTGGAGTCAAGCCAGGGGAAAGGTCACAAAGCATGTGACAGATGTCATATGTGTCCTTTCACTATACCATAAGCAAGGTGTGGTCGCCTCGCTTCATCGTGAGGTAGCTGAGGAGCAGTGGGGTGGGGGGGCAGGCCTGACGTGTGGCCTCCCGACCTCAGTGGATCGTGTTCTCCTCGGAGCTCCCTGCCCACAGACGGGGCGTGCGGAAATTAGAGTCCCACTCTCGGCTCCCTCTGGGCTCCTCGGGACCTTTCATGGGGTGAGCCCTTGTGTGGGCCGCTGGGGCCAGGGCCAGTGGACAAGCCCCCTGGGGTCGCCGTTGTGGTCAGCCTACTCTCTGCTCTGTTGCAGCGCCTGGAAACAAGCCGGAGCTCTACGAGGTGAGCGGTGGACACCCGCCTGGCCAGCACCGGCCAAGAGCAGACCCTGTGTGAGCCCCACCACGACCCTGCGGCCATGCGGTCCTGCTGGCTGACACACTGCCTCCTCTCGCCGACAGGAAGTGAAGCTGTACAAGAATGCCCGGGAGCGGGAGAAGTGAGTCCAGCCCCCACCACATGCACACTGTGCCCCCCGCCCCCCACCGCACTCACGCCGTGCCCCCCAGCCTCCAAACCACCCCCGCACTGAGGTCAGGAGGACATGGGGTCAGGCTGCGGATAGTCCTCAAGGAGCCTCTGCCAGGTGTGCCCAAGTACAGCCTCACCCCGGCAACGGCGGGCGCCAGGGGCTTTGCAGCCACGGCTGATGGACACGCTGCCCTCAGGTATGACAACATGGCCGAGCTGTTCGCCGTAGTGAAGACGGTGCAGGCCCTGGAGAAGGCGTACATCAAGGACTGCGTCACCCCCAACGAGTGAGCCTCTGTCCTCGCGCCAGTCCTGAGCACCGGTCGTGGGAGGCTTGTTCTGCCCGGGGCCCGGGTGCTCAGCGGGAAGCAAGAACAGGGCACTGAGGCCGGGGCTGGGGCTTCATACGGTTTCACATCAGTGTGGGGGCCGTGGGGGCCGCCCCCTCCTTTCTGCTTCCTCTCCTCCCCAGCGCTCTTGTCTAGATCTCCAGGGCAGCCGCAGCCTTCGGTGGCCCGTCTCTGCTCTGCCACTCAGCCCTCCAGGAGAGCTGTCCTGTGTCTGGATGGGCCGAGGGTGAGCAGGACTGCTGGGCTGGGCCAGCCTGGTGCTGAGGGCAGTAGCCTGGCCCTCTCCCTAGATACACCGCCGCGTGTTCCCGGCTCCTGGTCCAGTACAAAGCCGCCTTCCGGCAGGTTCAGGGCGCAGAAATCAGCTCTATTGATGAATTCTGCCGCAAGTTCCGTGTGAGTGAGCAGGTCGAGGGAGCAGGGCGTGGGGAGGGGAGCTGTTGGGAGGGCGCCAGGCCTGGGAGCCCCAGTGCCCACGGCAGCTCTGCTCCTCAGCTGGACTGCCCGCTCGCCATGGAGAGGATCAGGGAGGACCGACCCATCACCATTAAGGATGACAAGGGCAACTTGAACCGCTGCATCGCCGACGTGGTCTCGGTGCGGCCTCAGACTGCGGGGGCTGCGGGATGGTCAGGAGGGCCCCTGCCGCCCACTGCGGCCACACATGGCCACGGAAGCCCAGGGCTCCTAGAGCTGCAGAGCGCTCACACCCCTCAGGCAGGGCTCTCCATAGCTTGGAACAAAAGGGGTGGAAGGTCTTCCTCCCTGGACACACCCAGGGTCAGCCCAGCCGGGGCTCCCATGCACCCACCGCCCTGGGGGGCACAGCCAGAGCAGGGCCACGGACAGCAGCAGGTGGGCCAGGTGGCACGTGGAGGACCTCACAGGCTGTGGGAACGGGTGCAGCAGGGACCCAAGCAACCAGAGCGTCGAGGAGGGAGCCAGGGGCTTCTCAAGGCCCGAGAGGGGCTGTGTGGGGGCCAGCCTGCGCCTGCAGATGGTCCCCCACCCTCGGCCCCCAGGCTCACACGCTCGTACTTGTCCCCAGCTCTTCATCACAGTGATGGACAAGCTGCGCCTGGAGATCCGTGCCATGGATGAGGTGGGGCCCCCGTCGGGGACCGGGGGACGGAGGGGTGGCGTGGCGGTGGGGAGGGGAGGGCTCCCAGTGCAGGAAGCCCGCCATCCCGTCCACAGATCCAGCCTGACCTGCGGGAGCTGATGGAGACCATGCATCGCATGAGTCACCTGCCCCCGGACTTCGAGGGCCGCCAGACTGTGAACCAGTGGTGAGGAGCCCTGCCCTGACCCCGTCCTCTGTCGGGGACCGTGAAGGCCCCGCACGCCCTCAACGCTGCGCTCCCCCAGGCTGCAGACCCTGAGCGGCATGTCGGCCTCCGACGAGCTGGACGATTCCCAGGTGCGCCAGATGCTCTTCGATCTGGAGTCGGCCTACAACGCCTTCAACCGCTTCCTGCACGCCTGAGCTGCCGGGCCCGGGGTCCCCGGGGGCTCTGCTGTGCGCCACGGGCCTGTCGCCCGGGTAGTCCTCCAGTGTCCTGCCGCCCAGATGGCTCCATCTGGGTGCCCGTCCCTGGGGTCTCAACCCTATCTCCTCCCACCCTCCCCACAATAAAGACACTTTCCGACCTCCCTGCTCCTGCGACCTGCTCTCCCCCAACCGGGTCTGCGCGGCCCACGTGTGTTCCCTCTGGGCCGCAGGGTGGAATCCTGTCTCACTGGAGCACGTAGGCCCTGAACACACAGCCCATTCGTCAGGGCAGGTTCTGAGCTCCAGGTTAGGGCCTGCAGCCTCTCCAGTGGGCACTCGGCGGACAGGAGAGAGGCGAGACTTCACCTGGGCCATGTACGGCTTGACTCTGACCACATGGGAAGTTGCCCGCCACCTCTGCGTCCCCCCTTCATCTGAGAGCTCTGGGCACTTGGGGGCCCAGCTGGCTGCAGACAGAGGCTGCTGTGCTGCTCCTCTTCTCTCTCCCCACCCTGGGAGACACCACAGGCCAGCACAGGGCTTTGTCCTCCTCCTGGGTCACCAGGGCCCCAGTAGATAACAGATGGGGTAGGATGGGGAAGGCGGTTTGTCCTAACCCCCAAAGAGGGTGTTCCTCCGTCAGGAGCAAGGCTGGGGTGGTGGGTACCCCAGGACCCCTTCGGCCTGTCTTTCCCGGGCCGGCGGTAGCTCCGGTCTGCCGGTGAGGACGTGGGCGTTCAAAGGCCGAAGCTGGATCACTTACGTTGGTCATACCAGCTCCGCAGGCGGCACTCACCTGCAGCGCTGCGTCAGCCCACATCCCCACGGACAGGCAGCCACAGACCACAAGACCAAGGCTCCAGACCTTGGCATGGGCTAAGGGACCTTCCAGAGCTCATAGTATTCCTTTTCCTAGTAGTGTTTCTGGGTGTCTGTGGCATTGAAATCAGGCGTAGAGGGGCGCCTGGGTGGCTCAGTGGGTTAAGCCTCTGCCTTCAGCTCAGGTCATGATCTCAGGGTCCTGGGATCGAGCCCCGCATCGGACTCTCTGCTCAGCGGGGAGCCTGCTTCCCCCTCTCTCTGCCTGCCTCTCTGCCTACTTGTGATCTCTGTCAAATAAATACATACAATCTTTAAAAAAAAAAAAAAAGGCATGGAGTGTTTCAGATGGAGATGAGGTGCGGGTGGAGGTTGCTGTTCCACATGGGACAGTCAGGACAGCAGAGCAGGCAAGGAGAGTGGGGAGGCCAGGGGGAGGCCTTGGGATTGTACCCGGAGCCCCGGGTGCCAGCAGGGTCCTCCCAGCAGAGGCGTGCACATTCCTTGGGTCTTACCAGGCAAAGTCGGTAGAGAGGCGACTGGTGGGGTTGGGGGCAGGATCAACAGCAGGCAAAGAGGGGCCCTGGGGTCGTGGGTGTGGACTTTGCTGTATGTCGCACACATGGTGTTGACGTGGGCTGGATGCACTGGGCAGGGAGTAACCTGGCCCAGCACCAGAACAGCCGGCTGGAGGGGTCCTGGCGACACGCGGACACCTGCAGGAACAGGCTCTCGAGAGAGAGCAGCCAACGAGGTTTGCTGAGGCCGACTCAGACTTGGGCCAGCTGGTCAGGGGGCTTGTCAAGCGGGTGGCTGGACATCGGAAGTGGGAGTTCCAGAGGGAAGATGAAGGCTTGACATCTCCAGGGCAGAAAACCAGGAATTCTATCCAAGAGGCCCAAGGACCAGCACTGTCACGCTCGCAGGTTGGGAAGAGACAGGCAAAGGAGCCAAAGAAAGGGTATCTGCAGCCCAGGAAGCCCGGAGAGGCCAGAGGCAATGAGGAGCCAGTGGGTCCTGGGCCGGGAGGAGGAGGAGGAGCTCCACTCGGGTCTGGCCCGTGTAGCTTTGGGGAACTTTTGGGGACCGTGACAAGACTAGGGGCCAGGAGGCAGAGACCACCAGACTTAGAAACCACAGTTCCTGCTGTCAACTGCAGCTGAAGGGGCAGGGAGGGTTGTTTTGGTCTATTTTTTTTTCCCCCCGAAGATTTTATTTGCCAGAAAGAGACACAGCAAGAGAGGAAGCACAAGCAGGGGGAGCAGGAGAAGGAGAAGCAGGCTTCCCACTGGGGCTCGATCCCAGGACCCTGAGACCATGACCTGAGCTGAAGGCAGAGGCTTAACCCACTGAGCCACCCAGGTGCCCTTTTTTTTTTTTAAATTGTAATAATATGTAGCATAAAATTTGCCATTTTAAATACTTTTTGAAGATTTTATTTTTAGTTTTTTAAAGATTTTATTTGACAGACAGAGATCACAAGCAGGCAGAGGCAGGCAGAGACAGAGAGCGGGCAAAGCAGGCTACCCGCCGAGCAAGAGCCCAATGAGGGGCTCTATCATGACCCAAGCCGAAGGCAGAGGCTTTAACCCACTGAGCCACCCAGGCACCCCGAAGATTTTATTTTTAAGGTGTCTCTACACCCAACGTAGAACTTGAACTCAAAACCCTGAGATCCAGGCTCCTCCACTGGAGCCTGCCAGGGGCCCAACTCTGTGAACCGTTGTAGAGCTCGGTGGCATGACGTACAGTAACACTGCCATGCGTCCTGTCTCATCGAAGCCCAGAGCTCTCTCCAACTTCCCGGACGGAAAGTCTGTCTTCAGAAAACAAACACTAGCTCCCCATTCCTCGGCCCCCAGTCCCTCACAGCCACCGTCCCTCTTCCAGTCCCTCGGGCTCCCCAAGCACCTCACACAAACGGGTCACACAGGTTTGTCTTTCTGTGGTTGGTGTATTTCTCAATGTTGTGTATGTGTCACAATTTCCTCCCCTCCCCCCCCATTTTTTTTAAGTGCCATGCCCAATGTGGATCTTGAATTCATGACCCTGAGATCAAGAGTGACAGGCTCTGGGGCACCTGGGTGGCTCAGGAGGTTAAAGCCTGTGCCTTCAGCTTGGGTCATGATCTCAGGGTCCTGGGATCAAGCCCCACATCGGGCTCTCTGCTCAGCGGTAAGCCTGCTTCCTCCTCTCTCCCTCTCTGCCGGCCTCTCTGCCTATTTGTGATCTCTGTCAAGTAAATAAAATCTTTAAAAAAAAAAAAAAAAGAGTGACAGGCTCTGCCAAGCAGAGCCAGCCGGGCACCCAGAAATGTCCTTCCTTTTGAAGGCTGAATGATATCCCACTTGCAAGCACAGACCACATTCGTCCTTCGGCGGGCACCCCATGATTCTGTTGCTGGGGTTGTGAACACTGCGAATGAGGGTGTGTTTGGACAGCAGTGGCTGCCGTGTGCTTGCTGGATGATGGGACAGTGCGGCGCACGGTGCGGGGGCGGTGCGGAGGCGGTGCGGGGGCGGTGCGGGGGCGGTGCGGGGGCGGTGCGGGGTGGCACAGGCAGCTGTCAGATGTGTAGGGGGGCTGGTGACATGCTCTCTGGCTGCTCTGGGCTGGGCAGGAAGGCATCTGCTGGGAGAGGTGGCGGGGGACACAACGCTGTAACCGTCCCTCAGAATAATACACTGCTTTAAACTATAACTTTAACTGATGAGGAGTTATACTGGTCACGCAGCTTAAAGATGACCTTGAGAAGAACCTGTACCTGCAGCAGGCCTTCGGGGGAGCGGGTAGTCCGTCCTTGAGGCCCAGCGGCTGGGAACGCCGCCCACTTCCCTTTTTCATTGTCTCCCCTGCCTCCGAGAATGCCTCTGTTCAGGGAATCCCTTTAAGTGCGTTTGTGCCACTACAGATCTTAGCCGCTGGACCGGAGATGCCCCACTCCTCCCCCGGTTTACCTCCTTCACCTCTAAGACTTGCGACCAACATGACTCACGCTCCCTCCTGCTTACTACTCCCTCCTGCTCCCAATAGCCACAGCCCAGCGAGCAGGTGCCAAGGCTGCCCCAGGGAGGCCCATCCTCGCCCCCGACGGGCAGCGCCTCCGACCTGACCTCCAGGTTTCACCTTCGTTTCTTTTCCTTTGTTGCTGTCCTGTATCTAACAAATACGGGACTGAGGAGCTGTCCTGGGCCATGATCCTTCCCGTGTCCTCCCCGGCTCCGGGCCAAAGTCCAGCTGTCGTCCCCTGCTCCCGTTCTGACAGTTGACTTCTTTGTGTGTCATTCTTCCCCCATGCGTCAGGAAAGCCACACGAAGGAAGGGAACGTGGTCCAGCACGAAGGTTACTGAGGCCAGAGGGGCTGCGAGGGACAAGCCACATGCCTGCCTCTCAAGGGCTCCCCCAGCTCTGCCACTCGGCCCCGGGACCCGGGAAGGCCGGGCTGCATGGCTGGTCTGCGCTCTTCGCCTGAGCTCGCAGGCTGGCCGGCGGATGGCCTGAGGCAGCAGCCAGGTGCCAGACTCCTGCTCCACCGTTCCAGGGGCCCCAGAGCAGTGGGGTAGGAAAGAGGCCATTCTGGGCCCCTGGTCCTCAGAACTGTGCCCGAATCGGCCCCGGCTTCTCCGCTTGTTGACCCAGAGCTCCGAGAGCCCTGTACGCCCCGCAGGAAGTTCCTTTCCCCTTCTCTGGCCCAGCTCCCTCTCAGGACCCAGAGACATAAGACTGCTGTGTGGTCTGGGTGTGGCGCCTTCCAGCACATGTGTAGGTGGGGGGTGACCTCGGGCCCAAGACACTGTGCTCAGTGGGATGCCCTGCCCTGGGCACCACAGGACTCTGGGGACAGAGTCCTCAGGTCTAGGCTCCCAGAGGCCCTGCAGCTCCCAGCCACACCTCACAGGGCTCAGGGTCAGTGCTTGGCTGCACCAGGGGGTAAGGGGACCCACGGGCTCCAGGAGGGGCCGGCCCCTCCCCCTGCATTGCCAACCAGGCAGAGATAAGCCAATGGGTTCAAAGACCAGGGAGGGAGCTAAAAGGGAGGGGCAGGTGCAAAACAGGGAGTCACAGCCCTCCCTCCAGCTCCTGGGCCTAAAGCCTGGGCTCCCGCCCACCCAGCCCAAGACACCCTTCCTTGCCCAGTGGCGGCGAGCAGAAGGCCCAGGTTCCCCATTTGGGCTGCGGGGCTTTGGCCATTTCCTCAGG